TCGAGACCCTAGTCACCCAGCTATATGAAAAGTGCTCAATCTTAAAGCATTCATGAACAGCTTTCATTTGATACCCATACTGAACAAATATACCCAAGGTTACCCAGGTCCACGTTTTGGTCTATATCTCGAGACCCTAGTCACCCAGCTATATCAAAAGTGCTCAATCTTAAAGCATTCATGAACGGCTTTCATTTGATACCCATATTGAACAAATACACCCAAGGTTACCCAGGTCCACATTTTGGTCTATATCTCGAGACCCTAGTCACCCAGCTATATGAAAATTGCTCTATCTTAAAGCACTCTACCCTATTCGACCCTAATTTAACTGTAATAAACGCTGTCGATCGAAAAACATGTTACCTATATATTTTTCTGAGTTACGCTTTTTTTTTAAATGTTCAGTGGCCCAAATTATGACAAAAAAACATCTTTTAAAAATGTAATTTTCATTTCGTAAAATAGTGCTTTTATGCGAGTAGTATTTAGTTCCTTCAAACGATGTATTTCAATGTGCATACAACATGAAAATTTTGTACAAAATTCCCTAGGCGCCGAACGCCGCCGCCGCCGCCGCCGCGCCGATATTTTCGTAACTCGGCGGCGGCGCGTGAGAAATGACAAAAAACGGCGGCGGCGGCGGCGTGGCCCGGCGGCGTATACCTCTACTCCATAGAGGAATCTGAACGTTGCCACCTGCGCGAAATTAATTATTAAATGAAAAAAAAAAATTTTAATTTTTGGAGTCTCCATAGAGGCATTTGGACTTTGACCGCTATGCGACACGCCTTTACCGTCTCCAATCTGTGACCGTGGTATTACCGATGCAGGTGGTGAGATTGAAAAAATACTTAATTTGATGTTTTAAGGACCACCCTAATGTACATACATACTACTTTATGCTCTTCATATTTATTATTATTATTTTTTTTTATTTCTGCACCATAGCAACATGAAATAACTACTTAATTGTACTTATTTTTTCATTTATTTCTTCTCAATTAAAGCGGCTTTGTGACCAGCAAACACTTACATATGTACATAAATAATGCGTTGTACGAGTAATTAATGTTATTAACATTTTTGTTTTGTATTTTATAAAAAATCAATTGAAAAGCTGTGACAATAACATATTTTAAATGTATCATAGAAAATGCCTGCAATTAAATCTCTTCCGCAAATTTAAGTGGCATTTTTTATTAACACTTCAAAAGGCATGTTTATTGTTAAATACTTTAAATATTTTTGTATAGTTATGATTAAAAAATATGTTAACGCTGACAAAAATACTTACAAACAAACGAAAACGTTTTGCTTTAAAAAGAGGTTCTCCACAAAGATTTTCGTCTACAGTATATCAAGTAATACATACTTCAACAACGTTTACATGGCCTCCTCTCCCTACAAGGCCCTCTCCCAACAAGGGGTTTTTTCCAAACCTGGTCTCGAAGCTTAATAATCGTGAATCAGTAAATCAATTTCGAATGAGAAATATTGATGGTGAGCTGTTCCTGTAGCTCGCTACTTATCGTTTCCAATATGCATGCGAACCTTTGCACTTTCACAATTATTTCCTTGTTGTCCTCTTTGACTAAACCTTGCCAATAAACTGGATGACAATCCGTCTGATAACATTGCTTCAGATACTCGTTCTTTCGGTGATTGCGGCGACAGTGCCCATTTTTTTCCGAAGCCCTTTTGCAGGTATTGCAAACCGCTTACAATATTGGTCCGATGCGTCAATCTCTGGTCTTATGTCATTTAAGCCAATAAAAGTAGTTATAAGGTAACTCAAGTACACAGTTTTGCCGCGGAAGATAAAGTCTCGTTTGCTCTCTCTAGGCCTCTGAGCGAGTTTCGTGCTGCCAACTGGATGGCAAACGCTTCCTCTTGTTACACCCTTGACCCTGGTAGAAAATCTCCTGATCAATGAACTGGTTTCTACGGTCAAGCGGAGCTATGTAAATGCAATGCAAAAATATGTTTCGATATGTAGGTAAAATACCTTTCGAACAGAAACAAAATCGAACCGAAAAATCGGATTTTGAAAATAACTCGACCCAAGCGTTACTCAGCGGGTCTATTTTTGCAAAAGTGTTTATTGTTATATTTAAGAATTAGAAATACCGAAAATGAAGAAGAAACGGCGCCACCTAGGTTAGGTTAGAAGGGCGTGTGTGGAATAGTCCATACTTTCACTCGGAGACAGAATTGTCCATTGTGAGTGCCCTCTTTTAGTGAGTGTCAGGAGGAGACACGTACCTATATCGAAAAGTCATTATTTTACTGAACCAATGAACCCGAAGAGATCCAACAGTTCCACCTCTGGTACTTCGACCAGACTGTTGAAAAAGCGTGAACCCAAGTACTGGAGTCGCTTCGTCTTCGTTGTTGTTCTCTGCCTCTTCAGAGAATATTCTTTGGTATTCGCCACCGTTGGAGCATTGGTGCTATAGAACAGTGTCCTGCGATGACGCCGGTAAGGACTCTTACTGCAGATCGATTGAGTTTCAGTATGTCTCTTGACTTTTTCCTACCCAGCCGCGGCCATAATAATCTTACGGTCTCACAGTCTTCCCGTTTCTTCCCCAAGTCATTCGTCACGGCCACGGTGTACTCATTAATTGTCCTAACGTGATCACTAAACGGGGTAGTACGGAGCTATCCGCTTCTTCTATTGGCATCTCTGAGCCGCATCTAGCCATCTCATCAGCCGAATCATTCCCTTCAATATTGCTATTTCCGAGAACCCAGCATAGAGTGACGTTGATACGGCTCAGTGGAGTGGTACGACATTTCCATACAATTCCCGATTTCACTATTCTAGATCCTANATGTTCTTCAGCCCAGTACTTTGCATATACTGCACGAGTAACTGCTTAGCAAATATTTTAATTTAGTAAATATTTTTTTTTATTCGTATACAAGATATAAAAAAACATATTTCTTTTCCGACGCCCTACTACATATTTCGCGGCCACAGTCTCATTTTATATTTATTGAACGCTGCTTGGCTCCAGAAATTATAATTTATTTTCGCTGTTTATACAAGAGTGTCCTGTCAAAAGTCAACGCTACATAAACACACTTCATTAAGTTTTATGTTAAGCTGGTGGTTGTCTGTCTAGCCAACTGTCTGTATGTCAATTGGTTTGCTTGTCAATTTGGGGCAAAAATAACATTCGTGAGCTTGAAGGCTGCAAATCAATACACATGAACAAGCCCATAACTAAATAAACAGCACGTAAACACATAAGTGCACATACATACATACATACATATCATCATAAGCTGTTATTTACTATAAAAACTAATTAAAAAAAAAGAGTATTTAAATACATTTGTACATACATATTGTATGCCTGGAAGTATGTACCTACTCTATGTAAGTCTGCGTGTATTTATTTCTATGAATATGACGTCTGTTTTAAGCCACAATTGATTATTGGCACTGACGACGCCTGGAGGCTAAAAGCAATCAAATCATGTAGAAGCAGATCGAATGCCTGATACGAGTAAATACACGCAGCTTAAGTCACTCACTAGCTGGTTGGCTGGCTGATGGACTGGCTGGCTATGTGACTGACTGCCTGACTGCCTGACTACAAGAGTGGCTGGCTACACGACATGCTACTTATGTGATTTTATACATATTGCCGCCTTAGTTTATAGAAAATAAAACCATTTTAATGATTTGTTCTTTAAATTAAATTATTAACTTTTTAATATTTTTTTTTGTAGGTTTTGCTGTTTATTTTCCTTTTCATGACTTTTGAGTAAGACATTGGTGTTAGTTCCGCAATTGACTGTACAAAAATCGTTAAAGTATTGTTGTACTAGATTTTGTTTGTTTATTTTTTACTTCGGATAATAAAATTCACTTGCCCGTGGCTGAATATGGCACCTGAATTCATCTGATCAAATAAACGCGTCGAATTCGTGCAAAAGTTTCTATAAACCTGTAGAATGTTATAAGTATATACATTAGGGCGGGTCGAAAAACACAAAATATTCGATACAAAAATTGTATAGGTCTTAAAAGGTGCTATTTTAATCCCTTTTTCTAAAAAAATAAATCCTGTTTCTCTGCGACAATATCTTCAGTCTGCGTAATGAGCTTGAAAAATTTAAAATTAGAGTGGGAGTACCAATTTTTACAAATTTTTACAACGACTTGTGTACATCAAATCCGGAAAATATTTACTCTCATAAAATCATAAAAAATAAATGGGCCAAATTAAAAGTAAGTAACATCAATATTTTAATCAATTAATCTTTATTTCCTACTGAATTTATTAATTGATTAAAAGATTGATGTTATTTACTTTTAATTTGCCCAATTTATTTTTTTGTGATTTTATGAGAGGAAATAAGTCGTTGTAAAATTTAAAACAATTGATATTCCCACTCTAATTTCTATTTTTTCAAGCTCACTACGCAGACTGAAGATATTGTCGCACAGGACTAGGATTTATTTTTTAGAATAAAGGCCAGTATATAGCTCTCATGAAAACGGTCAGGAAAAAAATTGCCTTTATTTCGTGTGTGTGTCCAAGAAATTTTGATATCACAAAGAAATAATGGAACGGGCATATATTTCTGTTGCAAACATGGGCTGCCTTGTCCACTTTTTTCACAAAAAAAAACTTTAGAAACCCGTAGTAGAAAGCGTAGCAATATTCTTAAGAACTGCGTGGGAGGGGCATACCGGCCTTAAGGGATTAAAATCGCATCTTTTAAGACCTATACAATCTTCGTATCAAACATTTTGTGTTTTTCGACCCGCCCTAATATTACATATATATGTACATATATTTTTTATCATTAAACAACTTGTTTATGACTTCAAATTTCAATTAATTTTAATTTGGCATGATTATTCATATGTTTTGCCAATCTTGTTCATTAAATTTTATATTCTAAATAAGTATTATTTTCATTTTTAATTACCAATTTCGTCTAAATTTATATTTTCCTATTCTATTTCGTTTACGCAGATTACGTCAGGAAAGCGAGATGTTGTCACGCCAATCCTCCCACCATTGGTCGCAGAACGACTTGTCCTCCGTTTCATGTGCCTCGATGGCACCCTCTCCCACCCCACTGCTGCTCGCCACTATAGGTCGTGATGTAGCGCTCACAGGCGGTAGTAGCGGCAGCAATCAACAGCAACACAATAACAGTTCGGAAAGCACTTCATCAACGGAGACCCTAAAATGGTTGGGTTCCATGAGTGACGTGTCCGAGGCAAGTCATGCCACTGGGTATTCGGCCATCTCAGAGTCGGGTAAGTTAAAAGAAGTTTAGAGGAAAAGTTAATTTTATGTGAAATAAAAATAATTTGCAGTGAAGCCTCGATACAACGAAGCTGAATGCCTTCGATATTTGATTTGCTATAATTTAAAAAAAACGACACTTTTTCAGTGTTCACAGCCTTTATAATTATTTCTATAGTTTTTAAAGACAGACAGTGCCTTACTAGCTTTTGTTTGCCGTAATGCACTAGCAATTTTGTCTTATCGCACAGGAGGCATCTACTGGAAAGGCGGGAAACTTATTAGCCATGTGAATTGACTTCTTGAGGTCGCACAGTGTACTTTTTTAGGGTTGTGAGTGATCAATAATCTTTAACTTTTGAACGATAATAAAAAATTTAAATGTGCTCCAATTTTACCTTGAAAAGTTTCTCCAAATTTGAAAAATAAAACAAATATATATATATATATATATATATATATATATGTTGCCGGTTATTTTAGATTATCAAAAATCATATTATTTTATCAACAGCGAGTAAAAAATACAAAAAATAAAAATCGACTTTGAAAACCGACTGAAAATAATAAGATCTTCGAAAATTTAATTTTTTGTGCATTGCAAAATTTTATGTGGCTATCGCAAATGTAATCAAAATTGTCTACAAGATTAATTTTTTTAAATTATTTTTTAAGTTATGACATGTAAAATTAGCCACAAATTGGTTAGAAATCATATTTACTCATATTATAAATCATATTGGGTTAAAATTTAACATTTTTCCAACTTTTTTTGTCCAGCTTGAAATTTTGTCAACTATAAGTGACTATACAAAAATATTAATTTTTAAATTTGACTTCGAAAAATTGTAAAAAGTGGGTTAAAAATATTTATACCAAAAGATCTGCAGCAACTTCTTTTCCCGTTTTTTTTTACATTTAGGGAATTCACAAGACATGTTAACCGTCGTAAAATCTTAAGCTTAACATTTTTTAATGTAAAATAATAATTACAATGGTTTTAAGAAGCTGTTTTTTATATCAGAAATACACTCGAAAGTTTGCCATTTCCGGCTGAGGACGACTGCTTCTATTTACCAAAAAATTCCAAAGGCATAATTTTATTTTCTAGAGTTTTTTCTATCATTAGCACGAGTGGGTGAAGTGCGGTCCTAAAACATAACAGAGCTCTTAGCTGCAGTTAAAGTTATGGTGGAAACCTGATCTAGTACTCAGAAGAAAAAATTTAATTTAATGCTGAGTTTCTGGCAAATTTCGATATTGCTTATTATTAATTGTGGTAGATAATTTATGAGGTTTAACTTCTCTCTCCCAAACAGAATTACAGGATTTATTTTAGCTCGTCCAAATTCAAAATTCTGCATTATTTTTTCGTTTTTATTTTACTAATTACAAATTTATTAAAAAAATCGTCTTAATTAATGGATGTGACGGGTGCGCATGTTATGTTGTAACGACACTAATATATGCTGAGCATGTGCAAGCCTCGGCCACTGATCATTTTCGAAACTATTTTTCGGTAACTTAACGCTTTAGTTTACAAAATTTCAAGCATTTCATGCCATTGTTCTATTGCCAAAGGCTAGCCGTGTTTCATGATTAATGATATTTTCGCTCCAAATGGACACCAATGCCAAGAAGCGCAAAAACGCTAGTAGTGCCACCTCAAACCGATACCTACAGGTATGCAAGTGGGAAGAACCTGTTGTTGAAAAATACTAACCATTTCACTGTTGAGTTTGAAACATTTTGTAAATTAATTTTCGTGTTATAAGCAAGCGATTTTTTGCGCATTCTTATTGCTCTTTTCAACTAAAATTAACGCTAGCACTGATCACCACTTGGATTGATCGATAGAATGATCGCACGTTTTGTGATCGCACAGGTCAATGATATGTATTACATTCGACTGTACGGTATGACCAGCATAAAGGTTTGTCATTTCTCACAGCAATCAGAGCACTTACACATGCGCCGTGATTACTTCTGCCTTACAAACCAATAAAATATATAAAGCACACATTCAATCCCTTTGCAAGCCAAGCATTTTCCACCACACCCTTAACCCAAATTCGCTAAGCAGACTTACGAAATTACAGGCACAGCAATTGAAGGTGGAGCTAATTAAAAAACCATTTGCTCTATTGCTAAGTTTGCTTAGACAAAGTCAAAGTAACGGATTGTTAATGAGCCTACTTTGGTTGGGCGCAAAATTTAGCGCATCTAACTTGGGCCTAACTCAGCTGGGCCTACTCAGCTGTTTATAATGATTAACTGATATTCATTTGTCTTCCAGATTGTTACAGTTTTCTTTTTTCTACAGAGCAGCCAAATTCTAATTGATTTCATCACGCCTTGAGGGAAGCACTTTTTCTTAGTACAAAGGTACAGGTTCGATCGTCAAATTCTTGGGAGTGTTGGATGTTTGTATTTAGTACATTACTATAAAAGTAGGGCATACAATTCCCAAAGTGATTTAGAATGATTGGAGAAATTATCTGATGCTAAGTAGTTACAGTCATTTTATATTTAGCTCCATATTTGTATTTGCTTGGCTTCAAACATGGTATAGTAACCTCCACTTCGTGCGCCAGTGCTGGAACATAAATGGTGTTCAGCTATTTTTTATCAATATTTTGGAACGTATATTTTTAGTACAGGCGCAGATTTTCTCTTGGCAACACTGGTTATGAGCTACTAAGTGTTCTCCATTAAAAAACAACAAGTCATCGGAAGCTGTAGATGGGGGGCGTCTTTGTTTTAAATTGTAGTGGAAGCATTGTATAGATGCCTAGACATAAATACGGTAAATACTGCGGTACTAAATTATCGAGAAACGGGAAAAAGCTGCGACTCTCATCCAAAAATGCAGTCGAAGAATTAATGGAGAGTATCGAATACTATTTCTTATATTTATATTCGCCGTATGACAGCAAAATTATTTACACTAATAAGACTTTAAAAACTTCATCGAAGGGAGGATTAAAGCCTCAACTTCGATCGTTCGCCACTAATTTGCTTTTGTAATATCTACAACAGGCAACAGTCAATGGCAATCTGCTTTTTGTATTTTGAATGGAAACCATTATTCAATAAATAGTCCATTTTTTAGCTTTCAATTGAGTAACCACTAAGCGGTTTTAGGGGGAACAGGAATAACCGCAAGCCCAATGGGATATCACAAAGAGATCTGAATCTAAGTTAGTGGCATCAGGAACTGCTGTTTAACCTAAAGTTGCCAGTAAAATTCATAGTTTTCGGACATCAGTGTGAAATTTAGCTTAGAACATCTTATGAAAAATTGCACTCCGGCTAATTTTGTGTCGTTAATTTCAAAAATACAATCAACATTTTTTTTTTAACTCTTAGCTTTATCGTTATTCAGCGTCCATTTTATTGGACAGTGAAACCCGTTATATTTAAAAAGGAAGTCAAACAGTCCTTTTTGGTTGTTAATGTTTCGAGTACGAAAACTTACTCAGTAGATGACACAACGCCGAAACAAGTTAATCTGCAAACCAACTTTGACAAATTCGTTCCTAAATTGTGTAGCTTTTCTCAATGCTACACTACTCACTACCGAATTATGTGAAAATTTTCACTTTTGTGAAAAGACACGGTCAATTGCATCCAGAAAGTTCAACTAGAAAAACGCGCTAAAGAAAAGATATATAATTTTCTCGACACAACTATTCTTTTAACAAAAAAGGCTGTTATTTATGTACGAAAAAGAAGAGTTTTAAACACAAAAAAGTTTGCCCAATATTTTGGGCACTGGTGGTGAAAGGGTTAAGACAAAACAAACGATAGTTGTTTAGTTTTTCTATATTTTTTTAAACATAAATCGTTGAAAACCGCCGAAATATAACGAAACAAAACAAAAACTCTCGGCGTGGCTTGAAAATACTTTGAAGAATCCCAGAAATACAATATATGCCAAAAAATCTTGTATAAATTTCCTGCTGCAATTACAAATATAAATACCAAGGTGTTCCAATATTCGCTTTTTTCTAAAGCCAGTTTTCGAGTTACTCGTAAAATTTTAATTTGAAAAAAAAAACCGGTTACCGATTTTGAAATTAAGAAAAACACTGAGAAGAGAGCAAAGCAAATTCAGTCCAAACATTTTTTAGAGCAAAAATAAAACAATTAAAACTCAATGAAAAATTTACGTTTCTTCTTAACTGTTTTTAATATTATTTTGGATTTTTTTTGACTTATTTCGAATTTGAGTAGTGCTCTTGCCGCCATTGCCGAGTGCTCGGACTCGGGAGGTCCGTGGTTCAATTTCTGATCGCAGGAAAATCAAAACAAAGTTTTTTTCAAATAGCAGTCGCCTCCCGGCACACCTCCGAGTATACTTCTGCCATAAAAAAAGCTTCTTCGAAGTGGAATAAAAGTCTAGATATCTCCATTTGTGTCACAGCATCAAGAAGCCGAACACGAATTGGTGGAGAAGCTCGGCCAAACACGTAGAAAACGTTGAAGTGCCTATAAACTTTCGTTTATTGTAATCAAATATGATATCGAGGGCTTATATTCCTACTACTTTTTGATGGGACTTGCCTGTCATCACTGCTGTTAATTCTGAATTTGCAATTTAATAGTAAATTCTTCTCTCAAGCATTATACAAGGTCAGTATTAATATCACCGATGACAGTTAAGTCTTAGGTGGATTTTTATATCAGAATCTCATTTTTGTAAAAAGTGCTGATAGAGGGTATTGAATATAAGCCCTCGATATACTGTTAATTCCCAAATAACCTAGGATTGAAAATTAAGTATATTTAGGGGTTTCCCTCAAAGCGCTGAAAACTTCGAAAAATTCAAAACTTTTATTGAAAGAAAAATAATCGGTTTTTATGATTAAAAAATCCGGTTTATTTGAGATTCGAAAAATCCAAATTAAAAAAAAGGACTGAAAAAAGCGCCGAAAACTTCAAAAAATTCAAAACTTTTATTTAAATAAAAATAATCGGTTTTTATGATTAAAAAATCCGGTTTATTTGAGATTCGAAAAATCCAAATTAAAAAAAAGGACTGAAAAAAGCGCCGAAAACTTCAAAAAATTCAAAACTTTTATTTAAATAAAAATAATCGGTTTTTATGATTAAAAAATCCGGTTTATTTGAGATTCGAAGAATCGAAATTTAAAAAAAACGCCTATAAACATTTAAAAAAAGCGGTGGAAACCGGTTTGGAAAAACCGAGTCAATTACCCTAGTACATGCCACTGAAAAAGCGATAGGGCAATTTTTTCGTTAAGCCCTTTTGGTTTCTATTGGTTAGCCTCGTTAATACTAATCAAAACAATTTTTCAGTTCGTTCTAAGAATTACCTTTGAATTATCAGTTTGGATTTTCTTGCAACAAAGTTTTTGTGCCCGTAGCATTTTCATACTAGAACATTCTTGTCAACCAATTAACTATTTCAACATATCCAACTTATTATTTTTCCACTCCACTCATTTTTCAATTTTTAACATTGGCGCAACCTAGTCAAAGGCCACCAAGATCGTATGTAGTTACGTAAAATTGCCTACGGCATTTGTGATTCCTTAATTGGGTTCACAATTATTCTAACCTTTAACGTGCCTTTCCAAAACGTAAGAACTTTTGGTTTTTCCTACCAATTTTTATTTTTTTTGCTTCGCTTGGTTGGCCGCAAGATATTTGTCATACTAAAGTAGGTAGTTAGTAGGTGCAAATTTAATCGTATCAGCCAGGCTGACGGCCAACAGTCACCACAGCAACTCCCACCACGCCCAAAGGCGTAAGCGCACAAGGCGACGAAAAATGCTAAGTCCGATGCGATTACACCCGTATGCGGACGGAGTGTGTAGCAAGTAGCAAGTAGCAAGTAGCATGTAGTCTAGTAGCACATACGAGAGCAAGCATTCAAGGAAAAATAAATTTATAAATTGCGAGCAAAAAAATTGGCAAAAAAGGTTCTATAAAATTAATACCCCCACCACGGCTGCTTGGCAATCTTTTATAATTGCAATATAAGCACGAATTCGCGCATGCCACAAAACGAGGCAGGAAAAATTGTGTTAAGCAACTAACGGAGGCAGCGGCAGCGATGGCGGCGGCGGCGACAACAAAATCAAGTACAAAACCGTTAAATGAATTGGCTATTAGATTACACAATCGCGGTGAATGCCACGAGCGCAACTGTTGCTAGCAAACGATCGCGTTGCCACTGTGTCATGTTGCGGCCATTTATCTATGACAACTAACAAACACATATATATGTATGTATGCATGTATGTACATAAATGTGTAGCTGGTGGCTGGCTACAGTTTCTACACGCTTCTTGACCGACCCAGCAATGCGACAATAGCGGCAGCGATATATCTTTTCCGAGCTGCTGGTGCGCCTGATTTGACACCTTGTTTGCACAGGAGCTCCGCGCGTTGGCCGGTAAGGGTGGTTAGCTAGCGCATAAAAAACGCAGCTTGTTCACCACTTTCAAACGCTTAATCATGCACGTCGCCTGCGCCGCCATCCTCTGCTAATCGCGAACGTCGAGCGGAAACTGTCGAATGTTGGTCGCTTAATCGGCAAAGAGCTACTGGCGGTGGCTGCAGTAAAGGCGGTGGCGGTGGAGCCAGCGGCAACCGCGATTGACTGCATGCCGGTAATGAAGGCGACTGTGCAGTGTGCCGCTGCAGGCTGTTTAGGTGATTTATACGTTGTTGATTTGCGCAGTTGGTTCAAGGATCATTTTATAGATTTTCAATTCATTTTCATTCACCTCGTTCGAGGGGCGCACGCTGCTGCGAGCATTCTGTGATTTATCTCTGTAGCACACATTACTTGTTTATCAAATTCATTTATTTTTGTCTTTCTTCATTCTTTTCAGTTTCCTCGTCGCAACTGATTGTGCATAGTTCGCGCGTTTTGACCCCCAAACGACATCACAGCGAAAGCGTACTGTATCTGCACGACGAGTCCCAGCAGCCGCAACAAGCGCAGCCGCCACTAATATCGTCTGCGCAACAGCACTCGCCGAGCGCACCCAAACAGATCAGTCCAACATTGTCCGCGCGCGAACGCACACACTCGCCCACACGGTTGATGGCGCAAAACACCGCGTTGCTTCCGAATCATCGCCACAGTCCAAGTTACCCGCCTGTACACGCCACCGCCGCCATGCATCCCTATCAGCCACATCCGCAGTATGCAGTACGTCAGCAGCCACAATCACTCGCGCATAAATTACCTGCTGCCGCACCACTTGCAGATGCGCTACCCAGTTCCTTGAGTGCGAGCGTTACTGACGGCTGCAATCTTAGCACACACGCATCCGCGAAAACGTCGCCGCTGGTGAGCGCGCTAAAAGCAACAGACGACGGCGGCAGTGATGTGGCAGCACCACCGCCATTACCAACACAAAATACAAGCATGTCTGTGACAAATACGCAAGCGGAGGTGGAAGCGCTCACTTCCGCGCTTGCATCCCACTCGCCTGCCATAGCGCCGAAGCCAGTTGTCATCAGCAGCAGTGCGACCAACGCCATTGTGGAAGTAATCGCTATTGGCGCGGGCCCAGTTGGTGGCGCGTCGCTTTCGCCTGGCAGCGCTAATTCGCAGCTGAACACGTCCACAACTTCCTTAGCGTCCGCGGTATCGTCGGCATCCGCGCAACCATCGCACTCCTACCGCAGCAATCACCGTCTATTTGCTGTGAGCACCTATACCGAAAAGGTGCACAGCAACACCTCGCAATTTGTGCTGCATCCGAAGCCGCAGTATAGCGCTGGCTTGCAGAAGCCGGTGCAGCAACAGCAGCAGCAACAACAACAACAACCGCAGCTGCTTCAGAAGCAGGCGCAGCAGACGGCAACATCAGTGGCGCTGGCAACAAAGTAAGTTGTAGAATTTCTTTGTACGCAAGCTTTGAAGTAAATTGCATTCCACTCCCTTCTCTTCTCTTCACTTTAGATACTTGGCGTCTCCAACCAGTCCTCCTCAGCCAAGTTGGCAGTCGGTCGCTGAGCTGATAAACGACTTCGAGCGCACCAAAAACGAACCACAGCTGCAGAAGTATACCTATATGGACCCGAGTAAGACACATCGCGTCTCGAATCCAGCGCTGAAGGCATTCCAAAAGAATGCGGTGCAGTCGTACTTTGAACGGCAGCAACAACAACAGCAGCATGCCAAAGAACAGGGTCAGTCGCAAAAAATCTATCAGCCACTCACTGCGCATTCCCAGCATCAGCATCAGTTAGCGCATCAGCACCAGCATTCGCCGCCGCAACAACAACAACAACAGCATTCGCCACTTTTACGTCCGCATTCCTACCAGTCGAACATGAAAGAATCTGACACACAACATCAAATCATGCGCAGCTCGCTGCCAAACTCCTATGGCGCGCAGCATAGCAATTTGAGTGGCAGCACATTTCAACAACAGAAAACCTCCGCACAGCAGCTGCCAATGCGTTTGTGCGCACCACCTCCGCCGCCACCTCCACAGAAGCCCACCAGTGGCGGCCAGGTCGGCAGCAATGATGAGCATGCGACTCTCACACACGCCGTCGGTGCATCAAGCAGTTACAGCGCGCTGCCAACCAAACCACCCTCTCCCGCTCCACCACCACCGCCACCACGTTCACGCTCACTCATACCACACACGCTGCTGCGGCGCTCCTCATCCGCCTCAGATTATGCGGAATTTCGTGATCAGTACATGCGTGCCACGCAAGAGAAGCTCGTTGCGCAATCCGTTAAGAACATTTCGAGCTCTGAGAAATCTTCCTTCAATGATTGCGGCATGCCGCCGCCGCCACCGCCACCACGAGCAGCGCGCCCCACTAACCTGCTACCCACGCGTCGCACCTCCTCTGCGGCTGAGTATGCGGCAGCCATGCGTGAGAAGGCGTTGCTGCAGCAAGCCGCCGCGCTGGCACATCAACAACATCATCCGCAGCAACATGCGCGACCACCAAACTATGTGCAGCAATACTACAATCCACCGCTGCCAGCGGCCGCCATTGAACCCGGTTGGGTGCCTGAAAGACCGCCAAAGAATCCGAGTTTGCGCGTTCCTTCGCCGGATCTGCCGCCGCTGCCACCCAGCGCGGACTTGGACACGCAACTCGCGGATGAACCTTTGCCACCACCGCCGCCTGAGCTGCTGCAACAACAACGTCAACAATATCAGCAGCAACAGCAACAACAGCTGCAACAATACTATGATCTGAGTGCGTCGATGAACGCGAGCTGTGAACTGGTGCCCAAAGCACCCTCACCCAATCGTCGGAACAGCTTTGCTGGTTCTTCCTCGCGAAAGGCGTATTTTGGTCGCAGCTGTTCCGAGACGTCACCGACTTCAGCATCCTTGTTGGCTGGTAAGTTGCCTCCACCACTCATACCGAAGAAGCCGAACAACATTGAAGCGTTGCATGCGTCGATGCGACAGCAGCAGCAACAGCAACACACACAACAGCTGGCGGCTAACCGTTTGCTGTTGAATGGTGGTGTGCCACAGCCACAGCAACATTCGCCTACGCAGGTACCGTCGCTGACAAGCGCGTCAAATGCGAAGCTGTTAACGAACCGCAAACGACCGCACCACAATCCCGCGCTGGCTGGTTTTAACGTGCCGCCACCGATTTTGGAAAATGTGCAACAGCCGCAGCAGCCATCATCACCAGCACCACCGCAGCAGTTGACCAACAGCAGCAAATCGCCATCAAATACGAACGCGCCACTGAAGTCTTCACCACCGCCGCCGCCCTTAATGCCGCGTTGCATGCCAACGCAGACGTTAGTGAGTGGCGGCAATGGCATCAGCAGCAGCAGCAGCAGCATCGGCAGTAACAGCAACAAGAGCAGCGTACAAGCAAGGTAAGTGTGCGTTAGTTCAATTACATTGTTTTTGTTTAAACTTTGAATGCCATGTGAAATAGCTGTATGTGTTTCCCACAGTTGCACGCCGCACTGTGCTATCAGCGCGCTGTTAAATTTGTTGCGCGGCAGTTAGATTGTGTGCGCCACTGAGTTATCAAGCAGTCAGCAAACCGTTAACTTTGCCACGCGATATCTAATGAAATGCGTTGTGAATTTCAATATCCGCAAGCATGATTTAGAATATTCGCAGCTTAGTAAAGTTTCACAAGTGCACGCCTAACCAGGAACCATAATTTGGAACGGCTATACCGGCTGTTTGGCATTAATGTTTTTTCTCCGTATGCCGCGTCGGTTGAGGTCAAATTGGCAGCTGGCAACATATCCGCCTCGCCAACACCAACAAACCCACCTTTAGCGGCTATCAAAACTTGCGCGCTGTCGTCGATTGGTCGAGTGGCACATAGCGCGCGGTTCTCGCTGTTATTGCCTTCAATTTTTGTCGTTGATTTTATTTCTTATTATTGCTTTCTTTTCCCGCGATTACGTAAGACACCCAATAACTCTCAAGTCTCAGCAATTCGGACAACACATTGCGCGGCAATCGCATTTTATTGACAGGAATGTGCGCATGCGCGCGCCATCACCAACATGCCACCACACAAATAGCCTTCAGCCTCCTTCAGCAGCGCTCTAACCAACCATTTCGGTCAGCGCACCCCGTCGCGTTACTCTTCGTCGTCTCAATTCCGCTTTTTCGCTTTGGAATTCGGTCCAGTTCAGGCCGTGGCACAGCGTACTGGTTCAGACCAGCCAAGCAGCGGCAATGATTTGCTGCCAAAGACCCACCACCAGGCTGCCAATATCGCGCAATACTACTCACATTTTACATTCCACCAGCCCCCCGCCTGCGTCCACCTCCGTACGCCAGCGCATTGGTGTTAAATGTTGTTTGCGCTGTAATTATTGGCACTCACATTTGACTGCCGAGTTGTTGGCGCTTTTTTGTTTTGCATTTTTGCATTCCTTTTGAACTGAAGTGCCATGCTTCTTTATTTCTTTTGCTGCACTCTCTGCCCGCTCGACCGCTTTTGTGGACTTCAATTTCTTTGATTTTAAATCCGTTTGTTTGTTTGCAGTTTGCCATTCGGATTTTATATTGATCCTTCGCTTTTCGCGTTCGTTAATGTTGTGTTTGAATTTATTATTACGCTTTGGTATTTTTGATGAAGTGCCTCGTAATGAAATACTTGTATAATTTAAGTAGTTGTCAAAGCAAGCGCGCGCGCGTGTAGGCTGTTTGTTACGGTTGCAGTCACACCAGTTACGTGTGTGTCATAGTAAGGTCTTTTCAGCCGTCTGAACCTGGGTGAGTCAGTGATTGTCGCTGTAGAATGTCAATCAATCCGCTTTAACGGAAACATTTGTAAAATTATCTGCACAGAACAGTTATTTGTGCGTGCGTATTTAGGTCAAGTGGCCAAGTCGAAGAATTTCTTGTGTCTGATAAGAGTTCAGTTAGTGAGTTATACGATGAGTACTAAGAAATGTGAAATAAGTTAAAAAGCATGCAAAATTATTCGCTTCAAAAACTGTTCATTTCAAAGTGCAGATTTTGCCTTTCTGGACACTTATGGGAGTTTATAAAGCCTTAGTATAATGTATTGGTTAGGTTAGATTAGCTTGACCGATCCGTTAGATCTTACATAGGTCAATTGCTGGTTCCTGGTATAGTCAAATATATAAAGGCTTGGTCCTCAGAACCTAATCGTAATGCATTCTTATGCGGCATTTAGTTCTTTAGTCCACAAGGGTTCTATAACTCGGGGAGTCATAAAAATGGACCATGGCAAATGGGCCAAAGTGGGAAGGAATCACATGCACCACCTCTAAATACCCCAACCTCAAGAGAATGAGGGATGATGCAGCCTGGAGTAGGTATTCTACTCTTAGTATAGTTAAGTCACAATGTTTAGACGCGCGAGAAGGATTATGGACCCATCAGCACAGCATTGTTCTTCAGAAAACACTGAGCTTTACAGGCGCGCACATCAAACTTAGCGTAGAGGCAAACATGTTGTCTAAGACGAGGCATGCTTATACGAAAAGAAGTTCGGTCCTTGGAAATGGCAAAATTGGCAATCGGGTATAGCTAGAGGCTATAATGCCTCAAAACAAGCCATTTTAGATAGTGTAGACGTTCATCCGGCACTGTCGAACTGGAAAAGCAATATGCTGAGTCACCGAAGAGCCTCGGCGCAATGGAATATTAACCAAAGCAGGCACCAGCGGCACGCGTCAGAAGAGCATACAATCGACGGTGGCTGGAGCTCAGCAAATCTTATAAGCTGCAGCATTCAGTCATTAGGGCTATTCACTAAATTGATCCATGAACGTACGTTACGATTCTAGCCCAGCTCTTCTGCCTGACTGCTAGCTCACTTGCTAAATTTGGTGAATACCCATATTGATTTATATTGGCATAATACTACTATGGTTGCATGTGGTATAGCTCTTTTGTAATTGCGCATAATTGTGGTTGAAGTATTGTACTGCGCTTATTGTTGAGGGCTTCTGTAATCTACAGTTCTTGCTTACAATTTATTGAATAAATTAATGTTGATGTTGCTACTGACAGGGCTCTCATATGAGCAGTAGGCGAATATGTACATACATATGGGGCGTTCCGTGAAAAAAAAAAATTAACTTGTAATGTACTCATTCTACTCAATTTCAGTGTAGAAAAAAATTCATAACTCGAATTGTAGAGTGCATCCCGTAATACTATACTAAAATATTGCGCAATACTCAGAGCTACCATTGTGATTTTTTTTAATTTTTTTTGAGATGGCATATTTTCAAAAACTAACTTTTTGTATAAAAAAAATTTTTTAAAGAAAAAAAAAAATAAAAAAAACTATTTATTTTCATAGAGAATTTTGATGTGTGTATGTGATTTTTTTCAAATTTTTTTCTCGCCCCGTTCTCGAGATATTTGGAAAACTATTAAATCGATTTGTTTTTGTTTTTGTGCTGTAAAGTTTTTAAAAATGTATTAATCAAGCTCAAATTTCATATTTATTTATTATTTATGTTTATCCATCAATGCTAAAAATTTCAAACAAATCAAACACATGAAGTGTGAACCGCGTCCATTTTGGTATGGAACGCCCCATATATGTATCAGCACTTCTGACAACATCCCACCTGAGCTTCGAAAATACCACAAAGACGGCTTCTGTTGGCTGCTGTGTTATTAGCGTGACGCGGCGAATCAGTGAATTATCGGCATTCATGGCTTCAACTATTTTAATTGGTAATTAGAATTGAATCGGTTTCTATTTCGCGCGCCAAGTAGCAAAACATACAAAATAGGAAGGTCGTAAGGTTCTTTTTTTTTTGAAAAAAAAATGAAACACAAATTAAATTTGATATGGGATGAAAAAATAAAATAAAAATATTTAGCGTGTTGTCTGGTAGAGAAGAGTTCAAGGCTACTGATCTTACTAAATTTCAAGAAAATTAGTTAATACGGCAAGTACCACGAAGCTGCTAGCAAAATAGGCAACAGGAGTCGAATTTGAGCCAGTAAGTCAATTGAGCGCGCTACCAGCACATTCCACTGCCTTCTATGCATAACAAGGCAAGCCAATACTCGTGCATACAAGCACACTCACAGAAGTTGGCTACTACGCTGCCGCATGGCTGCATTTTTTTTCTTCGATTTTTTCTTCCATAATCACAAGTGACTTTGATTGATTAAGTAATCAACACCACTAATGGAGATTAATTCCAATCGCCTGATTTAGCTAAGCCCAACTTAGTAGTACTTATTTAATACAGATGAGCTGAGCGAATGTATTAGAAACAAAGGCTTAAGGTATATCGGCATAAGCGAGCAGAAGAAGACACATAAATAGGTATGTACTCGTATATACACACATGTGTATGTACATAAAAATATGAAGCGATACTTAGCCATTTGCAAGAAATCTTTCTTGGATTGCTAAGCATTTGTTGCGCTCTTCGCCTAATCAGGAGTTGTACGTAAGCGGAGTAGCTGCTGATTGAATTTTTATAGTTAACATTACATGTATAGTAGCCACATGGCAATTTGTGTGCTTTACGAACCACCTTAAGGCGCCTGCGAGTAAATAAGTATGCCCCACTTACTTTGTTTTTTTTTACTTAAATGAAGTGTTGGAAAAGGCATCAATTTGTAAAGTTGTGCGGTATACAAGTGGAGTCCGAAATAAATACACACGGCGTTTTGTATTTAACAGTTTTATTAATTTTAAATCCCCTCGCACTACATTTAACCATTTAACATTTCTAAATCACCTAGTGTAAGCTGTCACTAAATAAAATATTTGAAAAAATTCAGAAAATTTACTAAACAAATCCTATTAGTGTTATCCAATTATTTGCTCGTAAATTAACAAGTGAATGCGCTTTTATGCTGCCGCGCCTGCGCGTTATTGGTCACTGGTAAATGTGTATGCAGATATGCATAAAAGTATATGGGGATTTTTGCATGGACTACATGCATACAGATATGAAAATTCTTGTATTTTTCTGCTAAACTTTGTTTCGATTGCTCTTTGTTGTTGTTGCCTTTCCTTTTATGGACAACATTGTGCAAATGCTACAAATCACCGAATGGCGCTAATGAAGCCAAAAATAGGCGACACAGCGCATACATCAAAGTCAACATGGAAGTTTATTTGTATATTGAACGGCAGCAAAAATGTACAACCGCATGCACACACACATGTACATACATATATATAGAGTAAGCGTGGCGGATAAATCGGCTCTTAATAAATTAACAAAACATAACTATTGAATAATCAGAACAATCGTCAGCTTGGCGGTACAAAAATTTGCAGGAAAAAAAGAAAAGAAAATATATATTGCCACTGCAAATGTTGCCACAAAACTGCTTAGCACTGCTGACACAGTCGACGACGGACGGTCAATGCTCCACCGTTAAGGCGATA